GCTATGGCGTTCCATATTTCTGTATCTCATGTGGGTTCGTTTTGAAGATGTCACAATGTGTTCGATGAATTCCAAGTTTTTATGCTTGAATAGACGGGTTTTTTGTTGTCTTTTTCACCTAAAGTTAGTAGGCTAGACAGTGGTTGTGTGATATTACAGAGTTACTGTAGTGAAATGTAAAATTACCTCGACTTCAAATCTTTAAAAGCAACCACTGTTTTTTTCTGTTTAAAGTTACATGCCTTCAGATGAGCCAAAATAACTAAAGAAAGTTTAACTTGAAAAACTTTTTACAAAACTTTAAAGAAAAGAAAAAATATTTGAAATTAAAATGTAATGATTTACATGGTAAATATGATTAAGGACTGATTTTCAGTAACTACCACCATATTTCTACAACGCATTAAGGGCTATTCTTGCTTATTTTGACCTCTTTTTGGTAATTTATGTTGATTGCAAGTGCTGTTTGTGTCAATTTTTTCTTTTATCACTTTATAATATTTTACTCTTAAATACATTTTTAATGACAATAAGCATGAATCAGTAGGCACGCTGGAGGTATACAGGCAATGATTTGTCTTTACATATATAAATAATGTCTGTAAACATATGCCTTTGGACATCATCTAACATGTTTATGTCTTGATGTAATTTACAAGACTTCTCAATAACATAGTCAAAAAAGTCATTTTTAACTATTGTCTTTGTTTTCATTGCATTTTATGATGTCCCCTTTTCGACAATTTAAAAGTCAGTCTAGTAAATCGATCTGTCCTGAAAAGGAAATTTTAGCCAGAAATAAAGTGTCAACATTTATGCCGTTGTTGTCCCGTCACTCTGTATATCTAGCTGGTAATAAGTTATTATTTGGTCACATTTAGATATGGATTGGGACAGTGTACAGTTTTCTTTAAGACTTTGATATTTATAAATAACTTCAAACTAAACACAAAGTTGTTATAAGAAGTTTGCATTCAATCTCTAAAAAAAAGAACTTTATAATCTGAACGTTTCGGTTGTCCATTGAATGGAACAATACAAAGGTAGTTTATTCTTTTATACATCTTTGGAGCGTTGCGATCACTCTTATTTAAAAAAAACTGTTAATGAAACAGTATAAAAAACAACACATTAAAATTATAAAATTATATTTTGAAAAAACTTTTTTTTTTCAACAACATTTTACTATTGTTTGATTATGACGGATGAAAGTGTGTCTATGGTATATAATTACAGTGTATAGTGTTCTCATTGCGACTATACAAAGTCGGACTAAAAATGTTTATAAAAAGATCGGCTATAAACAAAAGTATGTTAATTTGAGAGAAGTAGAGCGAGAATAATAAGGTTACTAAGGAGTATACATTGAATAAGATGGATATTTTACCAGTTTTTAACCTTCGTCATATGAATTAGCAATGATAAATCAAATAACATCGATCTTTTGATTTAAAATTTACTGCTTGAGGAACTTGTTATGGTAACTGATTAATCATTATTTAGGTAATTGTACAATAATTTATAACATAAAGAAATTCAATAAATCACAGTTTGGGTATCTAATGTGCTGCAAAAAATGCAAATCATCATTTATTTATTTGTTTATTTGCGTCTCATATATGTACACACAACATATTACAAGCATAAAATATCATAAGACATGTACACAGCCATTCTATATAAGAATTATAAGAGACAAGAAAATCATTCACACATAAAAGAAATCTACTTACTACAAAGTGGCTAAAAGGATAAAAAAAGTTGTTTGAGTACCTGTAAAAAATAATTTATATATATTGTAAAATGAAGCTTGTAAAATACTAATTACTTAAAACCATATGCAACAGTTAAAATTTTGTACTTATGATGTATTTAGTCCTAATTACAAGATATTACTTCTTTAAAAATAATAATTTCCAGTTAGCTTATAAACATCTTTAAATTGTACTTGTATTAACAAATAAAACCATTAAAAAACATTTGTTAGAGTTGTGCTATTGTATAGTTAAACAATAGTGTTGTGTTACAATTTAATTAGTATTCTTACTATATAACAAGTTGTTTCTATATTTAAGAATCTCACAGCAGGTTTTTGCGAGCAATCTTATCATATGAGTGTCCTGGTGGGCAAATAAGTACATAAACTTTTCATGTTTTGACATTGTAGTAAATAAGTCACAAGTATAGTTAGCATAATCTAACAATGGTTTCCTAATGTTGTCATACATAGAACATTCCATTATTACATGCATTTCATTTTCAATACCATTTAGACAAAGTGGACATATCCTTTCATGTTCATATCGACCAGTTTCAAGACGGATAGGTGCAACTCAGCAACGGAATTTAGCCAAAAATCATCATGTTAAATTCATTAATTGCAGACCAAATTTTGGTTTGTGACTTTTGTGCATAGTTTATATTGACATTTTTGTGTTTTTTATTTACGGTGTAAAACAGGTAAATGGTTGGTATAGAGGAATACTAGTTTACTTGTTAGCGATGCATATCGGCTTCTAATGCAGCAATGTCTCTTTGTTGAAAAATTTCATTGTCAAATTACGTTTAAACACCACACACTCACACACAACTTTTAGGAGCGAATGTGGCCCAATCACTTTGTATGAATATTCATTTATTTTTTCAATCCATTGTTTTAAAAAATTCATCAACGTCAAAAGTCATATGGCCATGAACTTTCAGCTTAAATTTCCTGTTGACCTAGCTGTTCTGAATTCTTTTAAAAGTACATAATTTATTCCTAGAAGTATGCCTACTCTTTGATGTATCGACTTTTGATTATTAGAAGCGTCCTTTGTGTTAGTAATAAATGTACATATAATGATGTAAACAAAACACATCTATTTACATAAATTTAGAGATGTTTCATCGGGCAATGACAACGCAGGACGTCAATAGACATGAACAATGTTGCTTTCAGTTGTTGTTTTAAGTATATTTCTATATATACATAAGAACATATAAATATCATTTTTATTCCCGTATTTAATCATTTGTTCGTTATTTTGTTGTTGTTTTTTGTGTTTTCTTTGGGTTACCAACTCATCAAGAAAAACTTTTATATGAAACATAATTTCTTTATATATATATATTTCTTTATATTACAAACGTTGAATATAAAGTGATAAGTAAAAAGGTGATATTGCCAACCTCGGCGGTTTTTTTTTGGGTTCTATAATACTTTGTGATGAAAACAGTGTAATATTTTCGTCGTTATTGTGAAGCCATCTAACGAGCCTAATCTTGGTTAGGCTCATTATTGTTTTCATAAGTCTAGATATAGATCAATTCATGTAAAATCCTGTTTACGTATATCGCAAATATACATCCATAAATAAAACAAGAAGTATCTTTATGTTACAGGGTGAGAAAAATGTGCAGCCTGACAGGGACTTCAACCCGGGACCCTTGGAATACCGTACCGCGGCTTTAACAACTGAGCTATTCGGTCGCTTAAACGCCTTTTCCTCTTAAAAGTGAACAGTTTAGAACCGTGACATACTCCCCCGCTACATTGAAATTTGTTCTTGAATTTTACAGAGTTACAGAGCAATGTGAATTAAACTTTGAGCTTCATTTAGTTAAGGTCCCCTGTTGGGCGCCAAATGTTACAGGGTGAGAAAAATGTGCAGTCTGACCGGGACTTGAACCTGGGACCCTTGAAATACCGTACCGCGGCTTTACCGACTAAGCTATTCGGTCGCTTACACACCTTTTCACCTTTATAGTGAACAGTTTTAAACCGTAACATTTAGAAATAAAAAATAGTGGATATTTTAGGGTTTTTTTTTCTATAAATACAGGATTTATTTTCATTGAGTGTTATGAAAATCAATATTTCATGAGTGACAGTAGCCTCGGGTGAAATATGATAATTTTCATACTACAAGATGAAAACAAATCCTGTATTCAAAGAAAAAAATCTGTTTATCATATAATGCTACTTTTTTGACATTACAATTTGAAAGTTTTTTACATAAATTTTGTGTATTGGCTGAATTCAGAAGCAAGAAGTCCGGCAAGACATAAGTGAAAATACGGAAACTATGTATCACTGCAGTGAAAAATAGATTTTTACAGTGAAAATACGGCAAAAATACGCATTTTATTTCATCAAATTTTTCAAAATTTCATTTATATAAATTTAAATATTTTATATAATAATCGTGTTTATATATAGTTTTTGTTGCCAGTATATCATTGCCATGTCACGCATGATTTGAGTGAGATATATTTTGTATTTACACTTCAAAATGTCCTTCTCAAAAAAAAAACACTCACCCAAACTACTAGTTATTCTTTGACCTTTAGTTATTTTGCATTACTGATTTGAAGTATAGCCCTTTTTAAAATCTCTTTTAATGATCATTATTATGTTTTCATGAAAAATTGTTGATTTTGTTGTAGAAATTATATAAATGAGATTGCTTAAAATGATTTCAGATGTTAAAAGAAATTTTTGTTTATTCATTTTTATTTCATTTTTATGTATCCTAAAGGAACAATAATGGTTTTGTTTTGAGCATGAATAACTCAGATTTTGTATGTTCTCACCGGTGTGTGCCAATACACAAAATATACATTCTTCGACATACATATAAATAAAGTAAATCGAAGTACAGTCTTGCAAAAGCAATGGTTAAAGGTATACAGTCCATAAAATTGTTTCGTAAGAACCTTTGAAAAAAATGAAATTCATATATGTTTCATCAATATTATTATGCGTAACTGTATATGCTTAACAGTCTTACTAAGAATAAATCTATGTATCAAAAAGTCTTTCACCGGTTACTTGTGGGGATTTTTAGTAATAAAAGGTCATACATAACTTAAGTCAGCGTTTTTTGTCACTTTAACCGATCACTCACGCCAGCGGTCGATAAAAAACGCATAAATGTTGTATATTTTTTAAGATTGTGATGAATTAGACACTTTCAATTTTGTTTAATAGCTTATATTAACCTTTTTGACGCATCCAATTTGCAATTCAGACAGGTGCTCAAACATATAAATAGAAGCTTGTCTTACAGCATCTTCAGTCAGTGCTAAACAAGTGTCTGCTCCAACATGAATACCAAAAGCATTTCCGTAATTCTTCTCGCGTGCATTATTGGTGCTCTGCTTATTGACAGCACCGAAGGTAAGTTGTATTTTTTTGTTTTTGTTTTTTCGGGTTTTTTTTGTAATTCGTCTCCTTTTTAGTTAATTCAAGTAAAAATTCTTTGTTTCCTTGTTTTCCTTTTTCAGTTTTATTTAATTGTGTTCTATACTTTCTTTGCCAATGCTTATATGTAACGTATTTTCGCGATTTCTGACTTTGTTGTTCATATTTCATCACTGAACATTCATTTGAAATTTGTCACAGCTTTAGATTGGCTAATGTACAATGATTGACTCTTTGTAATGTCGGAATATTAAGAAAACTTTTATTTTTTTCATACTTTAACTGCGTATGTTTCTTCAATGTACTAAGACTGTTGTGACAAAACCGTAGGACACAGTGTGTGACGCCAAACATATACTGTTTATTTTTATAAGCATCATGGTGTACTTGCAATATTGTTGACATAAATTCACTGGTTTACAAAATCACCAATGGAAAGAAATATATATTTTCATAACAGAGAATAAAATCATTTCTATGTTGAGAAAGTTGAGTCTAAATATGCAGAGTTTTATATAGTTACTTTGCTTTTAAAACTACTTATTTTTGATACATATCGGGGAAAAAGCATTACCGTTTCGTAAATTAAGCTTCAATCTTTCGTGAATACTGCATCAAATGTTCGTGAATATAGCTTCACTATGTCTTGAATATAGCTATTATGCTATTGTTATTTAATGTGTGAACTCTATATTTTGTGTTGTTAGCATGGGGGAAACGATGCCGATGCGCCAAACGCTGTATGAAGTGGGAGAAATTCAGAGGATGGTGCGGCGGTAAGTGGCAAAGAAAAGCAGTTTGCTGTAGCCGAGGTGGTTGGGGATACGGCGGTGGATACGGTGGTGGATACGGTGAGAAACTTGTTTTAAAAAGAGCTGCGTCACGACAAAACCAACGCGACCAGCATGGATTCAGACCAGCCTGCGCATTCGCACAGTCTGATCAGGATCCATGCTGTTCGCTATCAGTATCTCTACTTGTATAGAGTTGGTAAGCGAACAGCATGGATCCTGATCAGACTGCGCGGATGCGCAGGCTGGTCTGGATACATGCTGGTCGCAAACGCACTATGTTTTGTCGTGATGCGGCTCAATAATTGAACTTGCTTTTTCTAGCGTTAATAACATAAAAGTATCACCTTTGCGATTAAGATCTGAGTAAATTTTATCATTTTAAAAGCTATTCTTACAGTTCTTCTATGTTACCTTGTGAGTTATAAATAGTTGCTGAAATATAGCAAAATGTATGACTGAAATACGTACATAATAGGGATCATGAAAACGTTATGGTCGTTCGTTCTTTGGCGATATAGACAGGCATGGTTGAGACAATGTTTCAAAATTCAACTAGACTGATGTTATTGGCAATAAGTTAACATCTTGTATGAGGACAGCGCCTGTTATTTAGATTTAATGTCTAAAGAACAATATTGAATGAAACTACAATGTATTTACCCTTCGCTAAAGTCATCAAAAGGGACTCATTATGGATTATGAAGCACGAATGCTTTACTTATAACAATTTCTTTTTACGATGATAGAATAAAATATGATACTTTCATTTTTTAAAGGCGGCTATGGAGGTTACGGAGGCTACGGTGGCATGGGAGGCTATGGTGGTTACGGTGGATACGGAGGCTATGGAGGCTACGGTGGCATGGGAGGCTGGGGAGGATACGGTGGCTACGGCGGAGGCTACGGGGGATACGGAGGCTACGGTGGTTACGGAGGATATGGTGGTTACGGTGGTGGCTACGGAGGATACGGAGGTTACGGAGGTTGGGGTGGTTACGGAAGAAGAGGATATGGATATCATGGCAAGAAATATTGAGCGGTTCGTGTTTTTTATTCTCTCCCTACTTTTTTGTATACTGATATTTAATATTACCTTATTAAAATAATATTTACACTCGTAATATACAAAACCAAAACGATTTTTGCATTGCAATCTCAGTCAAGAGACAATGATTTGTACTATTTGTTCTCCACTGTTGATTAATATGAAATAAGAGACACTGATAATTATTGCCGAAGAAATAAAGTGGGTGGTAAGTACTGGTTCAGGATGCAATAACATTGATTCCAGTAACTACGTACTTTTGTGTGTCAGCCCGGTGCCAAATGATTGATATGCTAAAACGAGAAACATAAAAAAGTTTGAATTACTGTTTCTGTATGATAAATGATTGATAATCTTCAGAACATAAAGTTTTATAATGAATACCTTTTTATTTAACTTTCAGATGTCTGGACTACCATAGATGCCTTTATAAAAACGACCGGAATCAAATGGACTTGAACCTTCTTAATCATTCATATTATGCTCATGTTGAAAAAAAGAATAAAAAAAATTAATATCAAGTAAAATAAATACAATGTATTTATCGCATTATTCTTTGTCTTTCTTGGTATATTCGGGTGTAAAGGAAATTGGTTAAACCGTTTTAATATGAATTAAAAAATTTTGAGATGTTGAACTAAAACTCTCCTCTCGTTTGCATACGTTTTGTCAATTCGAGGTACACATATAAATGTTAAATGTCGACAACAAAAAACGAAAGCATAGAAACTTTTGAATGGCCCTGTCACAAAGTCTCTTCAAATCTAATACAGACCAACAGTTCACATTGTCCTCAACCCAAACCAAGTATTATAACACTGAACTACACATTAAGGGCCTTTTATGATTGTATCTTTATGTCCGTTGATACCTCAATTGCAAATAACCCAGCAATATCGAGAGTATTGAATTTTCCTATTTTGAATATATCATCAGTGAGTCCTCGCTCGAATATTGTGCGACTACTAATCTCAGTGTGTTGATATTGACGCTTTCCCTGCTGAAACCAAAAGTCATCAATATTTGCCAGAAGTAAAATGCAAAACGTGGAAGCAGAAAGATTTCACTGACACATTCGGTACCTCTTACCATTTATGCTAATTTAAGTTTTACGCAGTTCAAAATATTGACAATGATAAATAAGAGGAGCAAATAATTTATTAAATTAATACATGTGTAATGCTGCATGAACAAATTTATTTCAGCAAATCGTGTAACTATGACAAAATCAACGTCTCATGACCACTAAATATATATATACGAAACTATAAAGGCATAGCAAATATATTTCATAACCTAAGATTCATACACGGGACACGTTTGTCCACTTTACAGCTTCACACCTGGCTATTTGGACATTGCACAAGAAACTGTGTATCGAACAATCTGTAGAACCCCTCACTCTGCTTATGGCTTTTACACATTATCGTTTTGGCGGCACGGAGCTATACCGCTCATCTCGGTACACATTAACAACAGTGCGGAATGCAGTAAATTGCTATAAATTGCTTATACAATATTTTTTTTTGCAAGAAACAAGATAGTTAGCAGTATCCTATTCAGGAGTTTAGTATCATTGGCAAAATAAAAATCTCGTTATATCGATTCCAAAACGCATTTTCCTCCACTGAACCGTTGCTTTGTAGCAATACAGCCCTGTATTTTTTCTCAAGCAGGCAGAAGAAACACAACAACTTCATTTTCCAAATAAACTTGCTTTTAATAATTTCTGTAATGACACACGATTCATACTTGGTGAAATTTACCTTAATTAAATGTATAGAAAATAAATGAGATAAGACAAAAAGAGAGAAATGAATAAAAAGAATACATATACATGTAGTAAAAAGACTGTATTATACTGTAGAGTTTTTTTCTCACGAAAATTAAAGCTATATATTACAGCATAAAATATATCTGCGGGTTGTAAAATAATACTTTTATCAACGCACATGACGCATGCACGTGCTTATCAGTGCGTATTGGTAGACCCTATAATCAAAATGATGTGTCCACAGCTTGCCCTAGAAACTCGCATCTAACCTCATATTTTTTCAGCGACATTTGCATGAAAATACACTACCATATCTATGTCTACTATGTACAACTTCCAACTAGAAAGTATTTTTACATTTTTACCAGATTTCCATCAGATAATGATTTTGGCTATCTTTGTGTGTAACAAATTTTGAGCAACACTAGAGGTCAAATCTCCTCATCACCTGCTGGAGCTAAGAGATGCATAGACTCCAGTAATTCAGGTCCATTAAGTCGCCTCTTACGATCACGTAGGAAGAAACACTGGCTGCATTTCAGATGCCTAAACACCTCAGCCACAAAGAGGACATTAACAACTTAACAATTGTACTGTTTCTAAACAACATTTATAAATAATGATTATTTCTTCATTCAATATCACTTTCAGTAACTGAAAAAAAAAGAAGAAAAATAGCAGTCAAGCTAAAATTACCACGTCTTATTTATAATATTTTTTACCTTAATTTCATTAATTTGATATTAACCATTTTGAATTGTTAAGAATTAACGCAAGTTTTGCTTTTCCAGCCAAAATCTAAGACTATTGTACATGTAGTTGTTTTAATAAAATTATGTTAAGATAAAGTTCAACATCTTAAAAAATAAAGATCACGATATTGAAAAAAGGCGTGGAATGATCTAAGGAAGAATTGAGGGGTTTTACTGTATTTTGTTTGAAGGCAATCGATTTTATGGTGTTCATTTGCCAAATATTGTGACATTTTAACAACAGAAACTTTCGTCTGCAATTTTAACATGAGTTGTTATGGGTTTGTTGATAGGAATGTTAACACACTGGTGGGTCAGATGAGGTTTTTTGAAGTAATTCATTAAAATAGTAGATTGACTTCCCAATAAATCAATGGACAGACTTTGTTCATTTTGACTACTATTTTGTATGTTCCAAAGAAAATACCACATGAACTTGAAATTCTATCAAATAACTCATATTAATGATAATTTCCAAAAATACCGCCTATATAATATAAATAAACTTATACCATATACGGGGGTATATTTTGGATATTATAGACCCGTATATTTTTGATATTATCGTTAATTATTGATAGAATTTCAAGTTCATGTGGAAAAGAAAATTCAATATTCTAATTTCTAGCATGCCTACCAAAGTTCATGATGAACAATGTCTTTTGTCTGCCCCATTCATAAATGATATATAATTATGGTTAAAAACAATCATTGAAACGTTAATAAGAACATCTGGTCATTAGATGTCTACTAGTTCATCTTCACCTGCTGCATTTCTTGCTTGGACGCCCTTTGATGCTTTGCATCAATGCTTTTCTTGTAATTGATTTAGAACCAGCAAGATCTCTTTCTCCTGAAGAAATTGCACTGAATGTAAAACGGTACGTGTTAAGGTTACAAATTGTAAACAAAGTAGTATTTTGACCTCTATACATAAAACTAAATTATTATAACTGCAATTTATACCAAAAATGGCTCAATTACATGTATATGGCAAATAATTGAAGTTTTGTAAACAGTAACAGGACACCAAAATAAAAAGATTTTGAAAAAATAAAAATTACAGCATTTATTTAGTCTTATTGGGCCTTTTATATGTGCGACAAAGGCAAAATGAGGCTCAACTATATGGCCCATGAGTTAAGTTTAAAACACTTAAAATGACTCCTAAAATAAATAAAAAACTTTTGAAAAAGTAAAAAAAATGCAATTTTTGAACTTATTGTGCCTTTAATATTTGGTCATTTGGTTTATACCGTTTCTGATGATACAAATTGATTGTATAATGATATCACCGATGTGATGGCCTCGTTAATGAAAACAACATAAATGTGACATATTTCTAGCGAAATAACATGATTTATTGTTGAAAGCAACAAACAAAGGCTGTGGTTGGTTTGCATTATTCATTAAGTCAAGTAAAAAAAATAATATGACATTTATTTTACATTTATGATCGATATTTTGTTTTTGTAGTTTTATGAACATGCTAATGAGACTATTTTATATTTAGAAACAATAAAGACACTAGTTGTGTAAACAACAATTAATGGCCTGTTATTATGGGCACGACATTCACATACGAGTAATTTATAGAAAATGATATAAATTGAACATTGGGAGTTTTGTTGTTGTTGTTTTTGTTTTTGTTGAGATGTTGTTGTTGTTGTTGTTTAGATGTGTTTGTTGTGATGATGTTGTTGTTGTTGTCGTCGTCGTCGTTGTTGTTATCAATGATACACAAATTAACAGAATTTGCAGGCTCTTGTTACTACATTATCTCTTTACAAAATCTTGATGTGAGTTAACAAATCAAAGCAAAAAAAAAGTCAGTGCTAGATATCGCACTTGAGTTTTTCTTCTGTTTATATAAAAAGAACAACAACAAAATAGTTCGCTATAACTACGCGTATTGTTATCTATTATAAAAATAATCGGGAAATAATAGTAATGTTATATATCATTTAAATTAATCAAACATGACGTTTTTATTTAATTCCAATAGAAACAATAATGGAAAGTGGTATACTTTGCATTTTGGAAAGTGGTATACTTTGCATTTTATAATGAAAACAAATCATATGACTTTTTAATGATTTATTTTTGCGCATTGATGGATGCTGGTTTTATTTATTATATATATTATGACAAAGCATTCTCGAATTCAAGGGATATATTTATCTATATACGAGGTGTGTCCGTAACGTTCCCGGACGATTGTTAATTGGAAAAAAAATTGTTGACAGTTTTCAAAAAGAAAACAAGCCGCTCAATTTCGTTCCATATTTGTACTATCATGCTCAATTCTATGCATTATGTAGCAAAATTGTTAAACAATATTAATAAACACCATCTAATATAACAAAGCTTTCTAAAATATTTAACATACTGTATGTGTATTTGAATTTGCGGAAGCAATTTTTCGCGGAAAGGTCCATTTTGGGTCTCTATACAATTATTCGCGCTATTTTGAATTCGCGGAGTTGACTGCCGAAAATTATAAATTCGCGTCGACCGCTCAGGTAAAAATTAAGGAAACTACTGTAATCATGGTGGGAGTTAACAGTTATTTTCAATACCTGGTGTCAAACAATACGCTATTGTACAGGGAAAAAAAAACATTGTCTAGCGAATTTATTCATCTATTGTGTTTTCTTATCTATGCTGAATTATTTGTCAATAAATTTCAAATATCTCTTTTTTGAATGAATAGATGATACCTATGAGTAGTACTCCGAGTTGACCGTCACTGCGATGGGAACAGCGTGTGTCAAGATCACACCCTCGGCATCCATGAAGATGATAAACATCTGTTTTCCCACTGGTTTAGCAACTTTTGCTTTCTTTGGAGGTGGGGACGAAGTACACATTCTCTCTTGTTTTGTCTCTAGCTCGTACAGGTGAAACCAGGTTTCGTCAGTTGTCACAATGGGCTTCATGAAATGTTGGCCACTGCGCCGATACCGTTACAAAAATCCCCTCGAAACACGGACTCTAGTTTTCATCTGCTAATCCAATAACAGTTTCGGTACCTATCTAGCGCACACTTGGATCATTGACATATTTTCAGTTGTTTATTATCTTGTGAATTGTTGTTTTACTGATGTGACAGTGCTATATCTCGCACTAACATACGACTGTCGCCATCAAACATTTCCTTAATCTCGTCACAAAAGACGCTTGGTCTTCCAGACCTATGGTCATCTGCAGTAGACGTATAATTCTAGATATTTATAGATTGTTTATCTATATATATATTTAGATTTCTAGGGATATATTTACACTAATCCTTTGTTGTATCATAGTTTGGGGACCTTTCTGTGAAAATGTGTCCAGTGCATTAACTGGAGTGCAGGTATTAGTTACCCGCACTCCAGAGCATGCCTATTGATTGGTTCATTTTGTCTGGGGTTTACATATTGTGACGATAGAGAAAGGGATAGCGATAGAAATACCATATTCAGATGCTCGTTCATTGGCTCCGTTTTCTGGGGTTTCATATTGTGACAACAGGAAACGTGTTTTTATCTTTGACCATGATACAAAAGAGAAAAAACATTAACACACTCGGCAATCTGATTTACACTCGGGGGCTACACCCCCTCGTACAAATCAGATAGCCTCGTTACTATAAACGACCACATTTATAAACCCGTAGTTGTATCATAGTTTGGGGACCTTTCTGTTGAAAAAGTGCCAGCGTTAAATCGTATACATATACATGCACAGTGCGGTAACTGGAGTGCAGGTATCAGTTACCCGCACTCCAGATCATGCCCGTTGATTTGCTCATTTTTGCTGGGGTTTACATATTGTGACGGCAGAGAAAGGGAAAGCGGCAGAAATATCATATTCAGATGCTCGATCATTGGTTACTTTTTCCCGGGGTTTAAAATTGTGACAACAGAGAACGTGTTTTTATGTTTGACTATGATACAAAAGAGAAAGAACACCAAAACACTCGGCAATCTGATTTATACTCGGGGGCTACGCCCCCATGTACAAATCAGATAGCCTCGTGTTTCGATGCTCTTTCTATTACTTAAATATAAACATTTTTATCTGTATGAGGCGTTACACCGCTAAATATTTAATTAAAAATCGACCTATCCATCTTTTATTCTGGACAAAAGTATTTAATTTTTTAGTGAAAATATGTACATAGTGAATAGCAAACAATCCAGACCATGTTTTTTAAGTTTGAGATTGTCGATTTTTTTTGCGTAATATTATACTTTTGTCCTGCACTACATTTTGTTTTGATTGGGTTTAACGTCGCATAAACACAGTATAAGTCATATTGCGATTATCCAGCTTTACTTGTGAAGCAAGACCTCAGGCGCCCCTCTAAACATTATACCAAGCATAAACGGGCACATGTGTAGAACCGTAAGCTAGCCTGATAATTTCTTCAAACCTACAGAGATGAGATGCAAATGGTTTGAAGTCATCGACATTTACCACTCGGCCACGGACTTTAGCTATAGTATATATATGAGCTATAGTATTATATATGTATAAAGATACAAATTCTCGCCCATACGGGTCATTCCATGTGTGTGCAGTAAACGTAAGTTACAAAGTTCATGCTTTAAACATTGAAAAAATTTAACTTTAAATCATGTTCATGAATTTATCTATTTTGAGTTTAAGCCTGCACAAAGGTCAGTTGAATTACAAATTTGTAACGATTTTAATCTCGTTTGGTAGGCCTGTGTAGAGATAAGACAACTATGTCACGTTTAAACACGCCTAGTGTCTAAATAGTTGTTGTGTTAATTTAGGTATACGTTAAATATCATGGATGTTATAATAAAGAACGGACGAGTTATCGATCCTGGAAATCAAATAGATGACATTCTCGACGTGGCTTTAAAAGATGGTAAAATATTTGATGTGGGGAGAAACCTTAAGCTGGATTCTAAATCATCGTACGATGCAACTGGCCTAATAGTTACGCCAGGCTTGATAGATGCGCACGTGCATTGTTACCAGTACGCCACGCCGTTAGGAATTAACCCGGATGAAGCGTGCTTGTCACGTGGTGTGACAACTATAATTGACGCTGGAAGTTCAGGTATAGAAATGTTTAAATGTATTTAAAAAAATGTATAGGAATATTTTCATTAATTATTATAATTCATTACATTTAACACAATACATGTATAAATAAACATGTGGCGCTCTTTCTATATTTTAAAGATATGCTTAAAAAATAAGAAAATATTGAAAACTGCTACAGGCTTTTTCGTGAATATATAATAAACATGTTTTGACTTCACACAAAGTGGTTATGTTTTTTAATACTACACACTATATGAATATATAGTGTTATAAAAAAATTGACTTTTTTTTGGTGTGTTTTTTTTAAAGAAAAGACTAACTTTACTTGACTTGTAATAGGTAACGTAGCGTCCCATACTTATTTTAGTTTATTCATTTTTGTATTCAAATAGGAATTCCTTAGATGTGATTATGAAATATTTTACTCAAGGGTTGAGCATAATATATTTTTAATTTAAATGAAGATCTGCCATATTTTATGCAATAACTTAATGCATTGAAACAATTTCACAGACATAGTTAATTTTAATAAAACATCACACTATTCTCTCTAAATTCACGGCAGTCACAATTTAACTGTTACTTTATTAGTTAAGTCCACATTGAATTTATAAATAAAAATAAAAAAGAAGAATCATTTTGAAAAAGAAACCGTGTGTCTTGTTTGTTTTTTTTTCTCTCTCAATTAGGGGCCACGACATTTCTCGGGCTACGGAAGTTCATTATTGATCAATCAAATACGCGGGTTCGATGCCTGTTACACATTGCCATGCACGGCCTTGCTGCGGCAGGATGCGCTGGGGGAGGTACTTATTATTGATGTATTGTATATTTGTGTTTATATGTTCAGTGGGTAGGTTTAGCGAATTTTTTAGTCTGAATGATACGTTTTCTATACTATATTCTTTGTAACAAGAGTCTCTCGTCAATGGTTAGTTAGAGACTCTGACTTTGACAATCAAGTGTCTCTCGTCGCTGTAGGTATCACACCTTCTAGGGACTTTGGAGTTTTAAAGCTTTCAAACACGAGAGGTATGTGACCCAATTCAGTTGTCTATTCGCTAGTGCACGAAACTATACACCATATGACCTTTTACAATATCGGTGTTCAAATAAAAATGAAGAAACAATATCATTATAATTATTAACATGTGATTTTTTTTTCTTTGTAAGTTACTACTGTGAGGAATTTATTAAAATATGTCAGCCATATAAATAATTAGTAGCTGATTCATCATAGTCACTGCCATGAACCTGCCTTATCTAACTTTTATGTGTCAAAGTTTTCAATATGTTATTAGTCAACATATTATCAAATCAGTTTTCAACTTTAAACTTTCGTTCATGCATTGTTACGTTTTGCTAATGAAAATGACACAATATTAAATGTTTGTTATCTTATTTCTGTACAGGTTTTATTATAAGTTAGTATGTACTTTTTTGGTCATACATGATTTCGAATATCTATATACATGTTCTGTAAATATTAAAACAGCTAGCGTTTTAAGTTATGAAGGAAAGTAGAAATATGTCCATTGTACCAGACATTCCTCTGGTTTGTAAGTCTCCGGACGGACAGCCTGACATCAGAGTAGTGGGGAAACAGGGCGGTGGAATGGACAGACAGCCTGACATCAGAGTAGTGGGACAACGGGGCAGTGGAATGGACAGACAGCCTGACATCAGAGTAGTGGGACAACGGGGCAGTGGAATGGACAGATAGCCTGACATCAGAGTAGTGGGACAACGGGGCAGTGGAATGGACAGACAGCCTGACATCAGAGTAGTGGGACAACGGGGCAGTGGAATGGACAGACAACCTGACATCAGAGTAGTGGGAAAACAGGGCGGTGGAATGGACAGACAGCCTGACATCAGAGTAGTGGGACAACGGGGCAGTGGAATGGACAGACAGCCTGACATCAGAGTAGTGGACAACGGGGCAGTGGAATGGACAGACAGCCTGACATCAGAGTAGTGGGACAACGGGGCAGTGGAATGGACAGACAACCTGACATCAGAGTAGTGGGAAAACAGGGCGGTGGAATGGACAGACAGCCTGACATCAGAGTAGTGGGACAACGGGGCAGTGGAATGGACAGACAGCCTGACATCAGAGTAGTGGACAACGGGGCAGTGGAATGGACAGACAGCCTGACATCAGAGTAGTGGGACAACGGGGCAGTGGAATGGACAGACAGCCTGACATCAGAGTAGTGGGACAACGGGGCAGTGGAATGGAAGACAGACATCCTGACATCAGAGTAGTGGGACAACGGGGCAGTGGAATGGACGGGCAAAAGCAAATCTACATGCGTCCCCGCTCCATCTCGCTAAGAAGGGGCATAACAATGCACTTTTTTTATCTTACGAAGGAAATGAATCCCGAAACATTTCTTTGATAGACCAATGAGCCGACTGTTTTATAAATGAATAAAATAATTAAAATAATTCAACAAAACATGGAAAGTACTGTGAATGATTCATTTGCTAAATGTTTATGATGCGAATTGAAAACAGATATCTGCAGCGCTGATTTTCCAAAATATTGCTGTGAACATTTTCTTTTTTTACAATTCAATCTTAAATTTATTTTTTAGAGCTGTTGCTTTTGGCAACTCTATTTAAAGTCAAGCGTAAATATTACGTCATTTATTTATCCAAGATATTGCGGGATATTGCTGTTCATTTATAGTAATTGGATAATCCAAAATATTTATTTTCTATAAATTAAGGAAGAAAAATGAACTTTCTGTATTCTTTGAATTCAATTCATGCGTTAAATTGTCTATAGATTAACACTTTACAGTGCTGAACCCTTAAAGATGTACAATCAATGCTTCATAGTTTTAACCATTCATTAGTAATTTATTAAAAGGGATTTCAGTATTAAAACAGTTAAAAAAGAAACAAGGTAAATATAACGGACAATCATTTTGATTTAAAATTTGTAGGTTAAGTTGACCCAAAGCTTGTGGACTAGCAAAAAAAAAGAAAGAAAAAAGAAACAGAAATCTACGGTGGCACAAAGGTGACATGTGTGTGTTTTTATTTATCTCGTGGCCACGAGATACTTTGTCGTGGTCACGAGATACTATGTCGTGGCCACGAGTTATTAAGTCGTGGCCACGAGATAGTTAAGTCGTGGCCACGAGATAGTTAAGTCGTGGGAACGAGATACTATGTCGTGGCCACCAGTTACTAGGTCGTGGCCACGAGATAGTTAAGTCGTGGCCACGAGAAAGTTAAGTCGTGGCCACGAGAAAGTTAAGTCGTGGCCACGAGATAGTTAAGTCGTGGGAACGAGATACTATGTGGTGGCCACGAGTTACTAACTCGTGGCCACGAGATAAATAACCAATCAGATTACACCATTTAAATGAATTTTTCTATTTTACTGGACATGTGCTATAGTACAAGTATGGCCCTACTTCACCTGCCTGTAAAAGTGACATTGATACAAGTTAATAACTGGTCAATAATTTTACATTAAGCGTCACTGTGGCCTTGATTTTTGACCCAATGACCTCGAAATTATTAGATTTCATCTACTGATCAGGTGCAATGATCTTTCTGGGTTCACTAAACCATGGCTTATCCCTTCTAAATTATTCATCAGACAAGGATTTTACATGAAGTATCATGGTTACCTTGACCTCAAATATCCTTATAGGCTATCTACTGTCCATGGGCAATGTCCCTACCAAATAAAATAAACCAGGACTTATTCCTTCTCATGTTATCGTATAAACAAGGTTAACAGGCCGTAGTATGTACAAACTGACCAATTCGATCACAAAATTGTCCCAACAAAGGGCTAAAGTCAAAATTAATGTCAGATGGGCCTTGGAAGGTGACTTTCTAATATGATCCTAAAGACAAGTTTAAAGTGAATATAAAAATTCAGTATTTTCAAAGATTAATGTTGCATGTAAAAGTAAGCTGTTAAGTTTAAAAAATTCATAATATATATAGTGAATTCTGATTGGTTATTATCTCGTGCGAACGACTTAGTTATCTCGTTCCCACGACTTTGTAACTCGTGGCTACGACATATTATCTCGTTGCCACGACATAGTATCTCGTGGTCACGACTTAGTAACTCGTGGCCACGACATAGTATCTCGTTCCCACGACTAAGTAACTCGTGGCCACGACTTAATAACTCGCGGCCACGACATAGTATCTCGTGCCCACGACTTAACTATCTCGTGGCCACGACATAGTATCTCGTGATCACGACTTAACTATCTCGTGGCCACGACTTAGTAACTCGTCACCTTTGTGCCACCGTAGATATCACCATAAAACCGACGTCGATTCCACCTTTTCTCCGAAAATTTTGTACGCCTGTTTGAAGTACATTTTTGTCAAGAGAGGGGGCGCTTTCCACTGGGACGTCATGCCGGTATGACGATTCTTACTCCAGCTCGCCAGGGTTCGTAAAATCCTTTATTTGATTATTACAGCGCCTGTAGGAGAGTCAGACACGCTGGCCATTCTTGACGAAGACGCTTGCGTAGAGTGTGTAGGAGCCAATCGTGACGTCATTGTTGGTGTCAAGGTCAGATTACAGTCTTCGGTGTGTGATAAGGGACGGTTAGAACAAGAAGCCTATAGGTATACATTCTGATATTGAAATTTTGTTTTAAACGTAAATACACTATATATCTAATGAGCAAAAAATATGAATTAATATAAAAATACATGGAATGGTAAGTTATGCATAAAGCAAGAATTAATTTTTTGTTTATAACGGAAAGCTCGATGTTATGCCGCTTTACTTTATTAAAGGGAAAAAACAAGGCTTATCTTCAGTAAATTTTCAAAATATGATTACCTCCCTTTACTGAGCAGCATTCATGTATACGAATACTTGGAACACAGTTCGAAATTTTCTTCAACGCACATTATGTTTCATGAAAAAAACGAGAAACTCAAATATTCCGCGAGCACGTTCCATTTGCAAACGAAATTTTCTTCAATTCTTGGCAAGCTTTGGTAGATCTACTGGGCAGTTAATAGACAATTTTGAATATTCTTTAACGGAACGTGGTTTCACTCGGGCGCCCGTTTGTGCCCGAAATGATATACAGAGAGTCACCTGAGGTCTTCCTCAACCAGTAAAGGTAGAAAGTCGCCATGTGACTTGTACTACGTTAGTGTAACGGAAAACCCAACCTAAAAAAATAAAATAAAAATAATGGTTATTTTTGTTTTATTTGTACGAACAGAAGGGCGTTATCGGCATCCAAACGTTGCGGGCTATCACTGATGGTGCATCATTCTAACTCAACAGTACCCACACAAACAAGTAAACTACGTCTTTTACATGAGCATACTTATTATAGTTATTGTTGGTTCTCAAAATCAAATCTGAGAATTTATGTTAAACAAAACACAGATTTTACACACTATTTAAGATGCTATCATAAACGTCATATACTTGTACTTTCGTCGAGGAATGGTATACGTATTTTCTGTCTTAGTAGATTTGAGAAACTCTCCAACCGTTAATAATTTCATTTGTTGAACATGCTTATTACATAGCAGTTTTCAAATAGATTTATTACCACAATATTCTACTTCATTGTCTAATATTATCTTGTACAAATGTAATGATCACTTTTCAATAAGATAGTATAGTTTTAAAAAGAAGCTGTCAATGTGCTTTTTCTACGATGGCTGTTTTGTACCATGTCGTACTTTCGTTTCGCGGCGCGCCAGTCGAAAACACGAAAAGAACACAAAAAGTCACTACTTTGTCGCATTATCATGTTTTCGCCTCGCAACCCGCGGAGCGGCGCAAAAGTACGACAAAGTAGTACTTTGTCGTATTTTCGTGTTTGAGACTATTGCCACGCGGAACGAAAATATGACACGGTACAAAGCAGCCACCATATTTCCTCGAAAGACAATCCAGATGTTTAATAGAACTTCGGTGGTTTCCTACGGACTTTCGCTCACGAGTATCTTAAATTTTGCAGGAAGGGGCTACTTTGGTGTTAATATTGTTTTCATAAAAACATTCCTTTAATCTAATAAAAGCAAAATTTGTCATTAAAAATGTCGTTGCACATAGATAATGAAATATGTTGTTTAATTTGACAGCATCTACGAGCGCGCTAGGCTGTCCTAAGGATCTACGTACTGGCGACATTTACACACATACATACCACGGATTTGAAAGCACCATTTTGGATTCAAAGACTAAAACAATTCATAGTGACGTAATAGATGCCAGATCACGTGGTGTATTATTTGACTGCGGGCATGGTGTGGGTGCTTTCAACTGGACTGTGGCTGAAATGGCAACAAAACAGAATTTCTGGCCTGATCTTTTGGGTATAAAATTTTTAGGACGTTTGTAATGCCTTTTTTAATATAATATCTTATTTAACTACAGTACAATGTCATTTAAAATGTAATAAAACTTTGAAATATTATGAAAACATCTTGAAAAAACAGTTTCGTAAATTATAAGTTATCACTTTGTCGTCTATTTATTGTTATTTTTAAAAACAGAATAATATCCGTATTTATTAGAAATCATAGGCGCTTACTACTCATAGAGAAGTTTTTTTTTATCTTTTTTTTTGCTTTATACACATACTCTCGAGGTCTACACATCTATTAGCTCCAGCAGGTGTGGGGTTATGTCCCCTGGTGTTGCTTTAAGATTATAACACCCAACATTAGCCTTTCCTGTTTCAGCGCCACAAAACCTAAATTGTGTTGGTGAGCCATAAAACCAAACAAAGCAAACATAAAACGAATACCCTTCTGCTAATAGTCAATTTATTTCATTTTTCTAATTTTCACATTTTTTTCATGTTCAGGCAGTGACCTTCATACCGAGAATCAAGAAGGACCTGCATACGACCTACCCATGATAATGACAAAGTTTCTTTACCTCGGTATGCCACTGAACGAAATCATAAAAAGTGTGACGTCATCACCTGCGCGCGCATTCAGGCTGAATTCCATTGGATCATTATCCAAAGAAAACGACGCAGACGTGTCTATTTTAAGAATTGATGACTGTGACGTCAGTATTGAAGATTGTATCGGACAAATGAGGCACGTTAAGAAGCGAATAGTCCCTGTTGCCATATGGCGTGGGGGTAAGGAACACCCTGTTGTCATAGCAGGATTTGGTTCGAAACCAGTTACTACACAAATCAGTCTAGGGAACTTAGAGAAGGCATTGATAAAAGATTAAGAAATACCTCGATGGAAAATAGGAAATATTATCAACCAACTTGATTTCTTTTTATATTTGCTCATGACTTTTGATGAAACAAAATGCTTATTTCATTTTCCGTATTTTCACTGTAAGTTCTTTCTTTACTGCAGTGAAGTATATTTTCCGTATATTTACTGTTGTCTTGCCGGAGCATTGTCTCATAATTTCAGTCTCAAAAAAAAATAGAATAAATAAAAAAGTAAATAAAAAAGTAAATAAATGAAAATAAAGAAGTATATAATGAACAGAAATCCATGGTTTCATTTCTATCAATACGGGATTTATTTCCAATATTTTCAAGTGATATTAGATATGATAATTTTCACACCACAAAAAAAATCATTACCCTCTTAGTATTAATGTCTTTTCAATTCTATTAAAAAAGTTTTTATTCCAGGGAATGTTTTTTTTTTAATCAATATATGCAAAGTTCATATAATATTGAGAACTAAATTAGCTTGCATATACATGTTGATGTTATCTGCAATCATGTTATTTTACAGTAATGTACCCATTCTATACAAATGAAATGGATATACAAGTATACAAATTTTCATTAATACAGGTCATGGCGTGTTTTTAATGTAATAAATACATTTATCATAAACACGTGCTACTTATGTGGCATTGCATCAATGATAAGATGATTCATTTTTACTGTAAATAATTTTATTTGGATATGTGATAAATAGAATATTCTAACACAACCGCATTTATCTCTATTTAACAAAGAAGGGCCGACATTGTGGGTTATTTAAATATAATGAAATGAAATCACTGTTGATGCTCTATTTTTAGACATGTGACGTAACCGTTAGACATGCTATGTAACCACTACAAATATGACGCGTTGAGTATGGAACAATGTAAGTTATGGCAATGTAGGTCACTGATTTTTAACAACAACTAACAGTTGTTCCGTGCATGTACAAGTTGAAGTTTTGGATATTTACTGTTACGTTAGAGCCAAACCATTTACCGATACCGTTGCAGAAATCCCCAAGAAACACTGAATTAAGTTTACATCTGCACATCCGTTAATAGTTTCAATACCCATCTAGCGCACACTTTGTTCATTTACATATTTTCAGTTATTATCTTGTGAATTGTTGTTTTACTGACACTTTTCACACTTTTCCACTATTTCTCGCACTGATATACGACGGTCGCCATCATGCATTTCATTAATCTCGTCACAAGAGACGCTCGGTCTTCCAGACCTATGGTCATCTGCGGTAGACGTATAATTCTAGATGTTTATGGATATATATATATCTGTTTATAATTCCAAACTTCTAGGGATATATGTACCTCAGAAGCCCCTTTAAACATTATATTTAACATAGACGGGCACATGCGAAGAACCACCGACATTCCGTAAGCTAGTTGGATAGTTTCGTGAGAAGCAAGTGGTTTGAAGTCAACGACATTTACCACTCGGCCTCGGACTTTAGCTCGTATAGTATAATTATACGTATAAAGATAATAATGCTCTCCATACGGGTCATTCCGGGGCGAGGTACATTATGATAAGTTTTCAATATTCCATCGAGCCATATACATGTAAGCCCATGAGGATATACATGTAATGCATTATATATAGCAAGACTGTACATAGCATAAATTTACAAAACAATTTAAACAGCGGAGAAGGTTTACAAATAATTACATGTCTTCCTAATTAGCACATGACATCAGATATTCTTGCCGAATTCCACTTGGGTATAATTTTAATTTTACAATGAAAAATGGTTCAGTGGTTTTTAGAACAAGATATCTACGCTTCTTACCAATCGAAATTAAATCATGTTATACAGCATATAATGTTAACTCCGAGGAAAATGTAACATATACCCATCCAACAATATGAAAACCGAAACTCTTTTGTTTAAAGTACATTATAAAGCTTAATTATAAATGCATCTAATAATGACATGCAATAAATAGCATATCAACTCAACCCATTAAAAAATATCTACTATGAGTACTTGCAACTGCACCTATACTTAGCTCTTAAAGATATTTCATCAAAAATAAGTTAGGGATTCTTGACTATAATAATATCTTCATCTTGTCGAAACGAAACACAAGATCAATATTCACTTAACATCAATCTAGGCACAATCAATATATAAAGCAAAAGGAATGATTATGTATGACGGCCCTTGATTTCTAAAAGCTTAATAAAACATCATAATTATAATATACAGTACCTTACATGTATGATAAAGTTGACTTTGTCAATACGAAAACACAAAGTCAACTTATGGAATTTATTTCACTTTAAATTCTTAATGTATCTTTAATACATTTATATTTTATCTGTACCTGTTTTACATATCGAGAAACATACACATATCAAAAAACATACATATCTGTATACTATAACTATAAATAACTATGACTACTTGCCCTGTTTATATAAACATTCAAACCAACATGTTTACAACTAATCTAGGCATTTAATGTGTTTATGTGTGTGCAGTAAACGTAAGTTACAAAGTTCATACTTTAAACATTGAAAAGTTTTTAACTTTAAATCATGTTCATGAATTTATCTATTTTAATTTTAAGCCTGCACAGAGGTCAGTTAAATTTCAAATTTGTAACGATTCTAATCTCGTTTGTAGAGAGATAAGACAACTATGTCACGTTTAAACACGCCTAGTGTCTACACAGTGGTAGTGTTAATTTAGGTATACATTAAATATCATGGATATTAAAATAAAGAACGGACGAGTTATCGATCCTGGAAATCAAATAGATGACATTCTCGACGTGGCTATTAAAGATGGTAAGATATTTGATGTGGGGAGAAACCTTGAGCTGGATTCTAAATCAACGTATGATGCAACTGGTCTTATAGTGACGCCAGGCTTAATAGACGCGCACGTGCATTGTTACCAGTACGCTACGCCGTTAGGAATTAACCCGGATGAAGCGTGTTTGCCACGTGGTGTGACAACTATAATTGACGCTGGAAGTTCAGGTATAAAAATGTTTAAATGTATTTAAAAATGTATAGGCATATTTTCATTTATTATTATAATTCAGTATAATATTTAACACAATATATTTCGCTAGAAATATGTCACATTTATGTTGTTTTCATTAACGAGGCCATCACATCGGTGATATCATTATACAATCAATTTGTATCATCAGAAACGGTATAAACTAAATGACCAAAAATTAAGGCACAATAAGTTCAAAACTTGCATTTTTTTTACTTTTTCAATTTTTTTTATTTTAGGGGTCATTTTTACGTTTCCTAAACTTAACTCATGGGCCATATAGTTAAGCTTTGTCGCACATATTAAAGGCCCATTGATCCTTAATAAATGCTGTTATTTTTATTTTTTCAAGAGCTTTTTATTTTGGTGTCCTGTTACTATTTGCAAAACTTCAATTATTTGCCATATACATGTAGTTGAGCCATCTTTTGCCTACGTTACATTTTGGAATTAACCACAGTTATAATAATTTAGTTTTACGTATCAAAATAAAAAAAGCTGCTTTGTTTACAATTTGTTACCTTTAACACGTATCGTTTTCAGTCAGTGCAATTTCTTCAGGAGGAAGAAATCTTGCAAGTCCGTAATCAATTATTACAACATTATAAATACATGTTTGCCCTTTCTACGGAATGAAAAAAATAATTTCTGGGGCTTACTGTGCCTTTAAACTATTGACTTCGTGTGCTTGTACTCAATCTTTTATAGAAGAGCAACCAGTTATTAACATCCAGTTATAAAAACATGTTTTCATTTAAAAAAGATCGTGTTCAATACGTTTGCGAAAATAAAACACTACTACACCAACCACTACATGAACAGTAGTCATAGAATTTTGCTGGAAGCAAAACTTACGTTAATTCTTAACGATTCAAAATGGTTAATATCAAATTGAGGTTAAAATAATAAGATCAGCCGTTGTAAATCTAGCTTGACTGCTTTTCTTCTGCTGCTTCTTCTTCTTCTTTCTCTTCTGCTGCTTCTTCTTTTTCTTTTGCTGCTTCTTCTTCTTCTTTTTCTTCTGCTGCTTCTTCTTCTTCTTTTACTTCTACTGCTTCTTCTTCTTCTTTCTCTTCTGCTGCTTCTTCTTTTTCTTTTGCTGCTTCTTCTTTTTCTTCTGCTGCTTCTTCTTCTTCTTTTTCTTCTACTGCTTCTTCTTCTTCTTTCTCTTCTGCTGCTTCTTCTTTTTCTTTTGCTGCTTCTTCTTTTTCTTTTTCTTCTGCTGCTTCTTCTTCTTTTTCTTCTACTGCTTCTTCTTTCTCTTCTGCTGCTTCTTCTTTTTCTTTTTCTTTTGCTGCTTCTTCTTCTTCTTTTTTTTCTGCTGCTTCTACTTCTTCTTTTTCTTCTACTGCTTCTTCTTCTTCTTTCTCTTCTGCTGGTTCTTCTTTTTCTTTTTCTTCTGCTGCTTCTTCTTCTTTTTCTTCTACTGCTTCTTCTTCTTCTTTCTCTTCTGCTGCTTCTTCTTCTTTCTCTTCTGCTGCTTCTTCTTTTTCTTTTTCTTCTGCTGCTTCTTCTTTTTCTTTTGCTGCTTCTCTTCTTCTTTTTCTTTTGCTGCTTCTCTTCTTCTTTTTCTTCTGCTGCTTCTTCTTCTTCTTTTTCTTCTGCTGCTTCTTCTTCTTTTTCTTCTACTACTTCTTCTTCTACTTTCTCTTCTTCTTCTTCTTTGTTTGAGTTATGGAAGTGATATTGAATGTAGAAATAGTATCATTGCTAATTTGTAAATGTTATTTATAAACATTACCCTGTGGCTAAGGAGTTGCCTGTAAGTGTTTAGGCATCGGAAATGCAGCCCCCGCTATTTCCTACGTAATCATAAGAGGCGACTAAATTGATCTGAATTTATTGAGTTTATGACTCGTGCCCCAAGGGTGGGTGATTGAACTCTGGCTAAAAAATTTGTTAAAAGCCAAAAGAAAATTTGAAAGAGAAAAAATTTTTTATCTTTTTGAAATCGGGAAAAAAATGTAAAACTATTTAAAAGTTAGAAGTTGAACAAAGTAGACACAGAAACGGTAAAGAATTTCCATGCAAATATTGCTAAAAAATGGTGAGTTTAGACGCGAATTTCTAGGGCAAGTTGTGGAAACATTATTTTGATTATAGGGTCTACCAATACGCACTAATAAGCACGTGCAAGCAGCATGTGCGTTGACAAAAGTATTATTTTACAACTAGCAGCCATATTCTATGCTGTAATATATAGCTTTAATTTTCATGAGGACAATTCAGTATAATACCGTGTTGTTTTTCTTTATTGATTTCTCTATTTTTGGTTGTCTAATGACTCTTATCTAATTTCCATTTAAGGTAAATTTCATACCTGATTCCTCACCAAGTAATTGGAACTAGTCATGTTATTACACATTGTTAAAAGCAATTTGATTTGGAAATAAAGTTGTTGTGTTTCTTCTACCTGCTTGTGAACCTAGAACAAATACAGTTATACATTTACCGTGCTGTATTGTTACAAAGCAACCAGTGGAGGAAAATGCGTTTTGGAATCGATATAACGAGATTTTTACTTTGCCAATGATACTAAACTTCTAAATAGGATACTGCTAATTTTCTTGTTTCTTGCAAAAAATATTGTAAAAGCAATTTATAGCACTTAACGGCACTTCGCACTGTTGTTAATGTGTACCGAGATGAGCGGTATAGCTCCGTGCCGCCAAAACGATACAGTGTTCAGCCATACGAAGAGTGAGGGGTTCTATAGATTGTTCGATTCCAATGTCCAATAGCCAGGTGTGAAGCTGTAAAGTGGACAAACGTGTCCCGTGTATGAATCTTAGGTTATGAAATATATTTGCTATGACTTTATAATTTCTTATATATATATTTAGTTGTCATGAGACGTTGATTTTGTCATACACATGTTGCTGAAATAAATTTCTTCATGCTTATACATGTATGAATTTAACAAATTATTTGCTCCTCTAATTTATCATTATAAATTGTTTGAACAGCACTGCTTAAAACTTAAATTAGCATAAGTAGTAAGAGGTACGAGTTTCGACAAATCTTTCTGCTTGCTCACCTTGCTCTTTCCTGTTGGCAAACATTTATCACTTTGGGTTTCAGCAGGGAAGGCGTTGATGACATTGAGCTTAGTAAAGCAATATTCGAGCGAGGACTCACTGATGATATTTTAAAAATAGAAAAATTCAAAACGCTCGATTTTGCTGGCGTACTAGCAATTTAGGTGACAATGGACAAAGAGATAAAATCATACAAGGCCCTCAATGTGTATGTCGATGTTATAATACTTGGTTTTGGTTTATGACAATGTGAACTGTTGGTCTGTATTAGATTTGAAGAGGCTTTTTGAAAGGGCCATTCAAAAGTTTTGATGCTTTCGTTCTTTGTTGTCGACATTAAACATATGTGTGTACCTCGAATTGACAAAACGTATGCAAAAGAGAGGAGAGTTTTATTTCAATATCTCAAAAAAATTAATTCATAATAAAACGTTTTAACCAATTTCCTTTACATCAGAATATACAAAGAAAGACAAAGAATAATGCGATAAATACATTGTATTTATTTTACTTGATATTTATTTTTTTTATTCTTTTTTTCAACATGAGCATAATATGAATGATTAAGAAGGTTCAAGTCCATTTGATTCCAGTCGTTTTTATAAAGGCATCTATGGTAGTCCAGACATCTGAAAGTTAAATAAAAAGATATTCATTATAAAACTTTATGTTTTGAAGATTATCAATCATTTACCATGTTTTATATTTCTCGTTTTAGCAAGTCGATCAGTTTGGCACCGGCCGGTTGTAAGTACGCAATTACTGGGATCAAAAGTGCTTACCACTTTATTTTCTTCGAAAGTAATCATCATTCTAATTTCAAAGTTAAACAGAAGTGGAATAAAATAGGACCGAGACTGTAATGCAAAAACTATTTTGGTTTTATTAGTATATAACGAGTGTAAATATTATTTAAATAAAGTCATATTAAATATCAGTGGGAGGAAAAAACACGAACCGTTCAGTATTTCTTGCCATGATATCCATATCCTCTTCCGTAACCACCCCAGCCTCTGTAACCACCATATCCTCCGTATCCACCGCCGTAACCGCCATATCCTCCGTAACCTCCACCGTAACCGCCGTATCCTCCCCAACCTCCGTAACCACCATAGCCTCCCATGCCACCATAGCCTCCCATACCACCGTAGCCTCCCATACCACCGTAGCCTCCGTAACCTCCATAGCCGCCTTTCAAAAATGGAAGACAGTTATTTTATTCCTGCATCGTTAAAATTTGTCTTAAACGTAAAGCATCCATATTTATTGCTTAGTCCCTTTTGATAACGTATTAGTTAAGAGGATCAAACAGTTTCATGTAATATTGTACTTTAAAGTTTTGCATATTTTATAATATATACAATCAGTTCAATAAAAGCAAACGCTCTTATTTTAATGTTTTATAATAAATCACAAACGTTGTCATAACACAAGATTCTAAAACGTTTCATAAACTTATTTTCAATGAAAAGCAGCCATGACATATGCTACGTATGCATAACTTTTTCATGATCTCTGTTATGTATATATTTCAGTCATACATTTTGCTTTATTTCAGCAACAATTTATAACTCACAAGGTACCATGGAAGAACTGTAAGAATAGCTTTTAAAATGATAACATTTAATCAGAATCTCCATCGCAAAGGTGATACGTTAATGTTATTAACGCTAGCAAAAACAAGTTCAATAATTTAAGACAAGTTTCTCACCGTATCCACCGCCGTATCCGCCGTATCCCCAACCACCTCGGCTACAGCAAACAGCTTTTCTTTGCCATTTACCGCCGCACCATCCGCCCTGCGTTTGTAATTTTCTCCCACTTTCAATAACAGCGTTCTTTGGCGCATCTGCATCGTTAGCCGGGCTTTGCTAATGCTTGGCACCAAAATATAGAATTCACACTTTAAATACAATAGCATAATAGCTATATTCAGAGACATAGTGAAGCTAATTTATTCACGAACATTTGATGCAGTATTCACGAAAAGATTGAAAGCTTAATTTTAGAAAACGGTAATGCTTTTTCCCCGATATGATATCATAAATAAGTGGTTAAAAAAAAGCAAAGTAACTATATTAAACCCTGCATATTTAGACTCAAAATTTCTCAACATTGAAAATGGATTTTTATTCTCTGTTAATGAAAAATATATATTTCTTTCCGTTGGTGATTTTGTAAATCAGTGAATTAATGTCAACAGTTTTGCAAGTACACCATGATGTTTATAGAAATAAACAGTATATGTTTGGCGTCACACAGTGTGTCCTACAGTTTTGTCACAACAGTTTTAGTACATTGAAGAAACATACGCAGTTAAAGTATGATAAAATAAACGTTTTCTTAATATTCCGACATTACCAAGTGTAAATCATTGTACATTAGCCAATCTAAAGCCGTGACAAATTTCAAGTGAATGTTCATTAATAAAATATGAACAACAGTCAGAAATCGCGAAAATAGATTACATATGAGAATTTACAAAGAAATGTCATCAAGTTGAAGAAAAAAGGCCAAAAATAAAGAGTTTGTACTTAAAGCAAGTAAAAAAGAAATGAATAATAAAAAACAAACTTACCTTCGGTGCTGTCGATAAGCAGAGCACCAATAATGCACGCGAGAAGAATTACGGAAATGCTTTTGGTATTCATGTTGGAGCAGACGCTTGCTTAGCACTGACTGAAGATGCTGTAAGACAAGCGTCTATTTATATGTTTGAGCACACTGTCTGAATTGAAATTGGATTGCGTCAAAAAGGTTATATAGCTATTAAACAAATTGAAAGTGTCTAATTCATCACTCTTAATTCCACATTAATGAGTTTTTATCGAACGCTGGCGTTGACGTGATCGGTTTAAAGTGACAAAAAATGCCTGACTTAAAGTTAAATGTATGACTTTATTAATAAAATCCCCACAAGTAACCGGTGTAAGACCGTTTTGGATACATAGATCTATTCTGTAGTGAGACTGGTTTAAGGCATATACAGTTTACCATAATATATTGATGTTGAATTTTTATTTCAAAAGGTTCTTTACGAAAAACAATTTTATGGACTGATTTTCCTTTAACCATTGCTTTTGCAAGACCGTACTTCGGATTGAACTATATTTATTGCTGTTAAGAATGTAATATTTGTATTATGGGGGGTAATATACAAAATTTGAGTTATACATTAAACAAACCATTAATATTCCTTTAGGATACACGAAAAGGAAATAAAAATAAATAGAACAAAAATTTTCTTTTTAACATCTGAAATAATTTACCACCAATGATATCTCATTTATATAGATTTCTAAAACAAAACCAACAATTTTTAATGTAAAAACATAATAATGATCATTGAGAGAAATTTTAAAAAGGGGCTATAACTTTCAAGGATCAGTAATCGCAAAGTGACAACAAAGGTAAAAGAAATGAGCTAGTAAGTGTAGCGGTTTAGTGTTTTTTTTGTGAAGGACTTTTTGAAGTGGAAGTACACAATATATCTCACTCATATCAATCGTGACATAGCAATGATATACTGGCAACAAAAAACTTGATATAAACACGATTATTATATAAAATATATATTATTCTATAAATGAAATGTTGAGAAATATTGATGAAAAAAAAAAATGCTTATTTTCATTTTCCTTATTTACTGTAAAATTCTAATTTTTTTTCACTGCTGTGATACACATTTTCCGTATTTTCACTTATGTATTGCCGGACTTCTTTCTTCTTAATTCAGCCAATACACAAAATTTGTGTGAAATACTTTCAAATTGTAATGTCATAAAAGTAGAATTATATGATAAACAGATTTTTGTCTTTAAATACAGGATTTGTTTTCATCTTGTAGTATGAAAATTATCATATTTCACCTGAGGCTACCGTCACTCATGAAATATTGATTTTCATACCACTAAATGAAAATAAGTCCTGTATTTATAGAAAAAAAAACCCTCAAATATCCTCTGTTTTTCCTAGAGATACTTCTCCTTGTTTCATTTAAACGCCGTGTATATTGTGATATACGTAAACAGGATTTTAAACATGAATTGATAGATAATCTGGACTGGATATATATCTAGATCATGAAAATAATGAGGCCTAAACCAAAGTAATTGGACTCGTTAGAATGGCTTCAACAAATAATGGACGAAAATATAACACTGTTTTTATCACACAGTATAATAGGTAATTAAAAAAAAACAACAAAAAAACCCGCAAAACATGGAAACCAACAAAAAACAAGCAAAGAAAACAAAAACGCCGAGGTTGGCATATCACTTTTTACTTATCACTTTATATTCAACCGTGTGTTAATAAAAAAGACAATATATATATATAAAAGAATAATGTATTTTCATATAAAAGTTTTCTTGATTTGAGTTTGGTAACCCAAAGAAAAACAGCAAAAAACAACAACAAAATAAACGAACAAATGAATTAAATACGGAATAAAAAATGATATTTATATGTTTCTTTATGTATATATAAATGGAAATATACCTTAAAACAACAACTGAAAGCACATTTGTTCATGTTCCTATTGAAAGTTCTGCGCTGTCATTGCCCGATGAAACATCTCGTGAAATCTATGGTAAATAGATGTGTTTTGTTTTATATCATTTCATGTTCATTTATTACTAACAAGGACAGCTTCCTAATAATCAAAAAGTCGTAAATTACATCAAGAGTAGGCATACTTCTAAGGAATAAATTATGTACTTTTAAAAGAATTCAGAACAGCTATGTCAACAGGAAATTTAAGCTGAAAGTTCATGGCCATATGATTTTTGACGTTGATGAATTTTTTTAAACAATGGATTGAAAAAATAAATGAATATTCATACAAAGTGATTGGACCACATTCGCTCCTAAAAGTTGTATGTGAGTGTGTTGTGTTTGAAATTAATTTGACAATGACATTTCTCAACAATGAAACATTGCTGCATTCAACGCTAACAAGTAAACTAGTATTCCTCTATACCAACCATTAACTTTTTACACCGTAAATAAAAACGACAAAAAATGTCAATATAAACTATGCACAAAAGTCACAAACAAAAATTTGGTCTGCAATTAAGCGATTTAACATGATGATTTGCATTTTTTGCAGCACATTAGATACCCAAAACTGTGATTTATTGAATTTCTTTATGTACAATTACCTAAATAATGATTAATCAGTTACATATCTCTACTGCGTTACTAACGCAGTACGTTAATTGCAAGTGTTGTTTATGTACAATGTGTAAAACTTTCTTTCTTTTACTTCACAAAATTGTGCATGAATATGGTGGCGTGCTGCTTTAGGGAACAATGATAACTATATAATTAGTATTCCTATGAAATAAGAAGTAGTTTACTTGTTTGTGTGGGTACTGTTGAGTCACAATGATGCACCATCGATGGTAGCCCGCAACGTTTGGCTGCCGATAACGCCCTTCTGTATATACCAATAAAACAAAAATTGCCTTTTTTATTTTCATTTCGTTACACCAACATATGACAGGTCACTTTCCAGCTTTACAGGTTGAGGAAGACCTCGGTTGTCTCTATGTATATTATTTCAGGCACAAGCGGGCGCCCGAGTAAAAGAACATTAAAGAAGTCTCTCAACAGGTCATATTCTGAATAATTATGTAAAAATGACCGAGAAACGGCGAAATGAAATATCAAATACTTCGGCTCGTCAGGACTTGAAGAAAATTTCGTTTGCAAATTGAACGTGCTCGTTTGGTTTCTCGTTTGTTCACGTAACATAAAATGTGCGTTTAAGAAAATTTCGAACTGTGCAAGTATTCGTACATGTAATGATTAAACAACAATGTTGCTTTCTAATATAAAAATGACATATTGTCAGTAAAGGGAGGTAAATATATATAGAATTTTAATTTTATTTTAGCCGAGTATGTCTTCCTTTTTCTTTCCTCCTTTCTTTTTTAGGCAAGGGTTCCGTTTTAAACAAATAGGTTTTGTAATTTATTTCACTATAGAAAATAACCATTTTACTTCTTGCTTCATGTAAATCATACCCGTCCAATTTTTTGGTTGTTTTATTTTATTTATTTTATTATTTATTTATTTATTTGTTGTTCACTAAATATATGACTTTTTTATTTTTAAGTTTATTAAGAAGAAACGTTTTAAATGTCAGAAAGGAAGCGTACCTATAATGGCTTTTTCTTTTTTCTTTTTTTTTAATCGGGGTTTTCCCTGTTTATTCCCACACCCCATACCGAAGGGGGGGGTACTGTAATCTGGGGACCCCGGTTGGGGGGGGACCCCAAAACGCCAACGATGACGTCACGATTGGCTTCTATACACTCAACGCAAGCGTCCTGGTTAAGAATTGCGAGTGTGTCCGACTCTCCTCCGGGCGCTGTAATAAAAACAAGATTTTACGAACCCTGAATATGAATAACCATAACGGCATGACGTCACAGTGGAAAACGCCATCTATCGGCAAAAGGTGTGAATAGGCAAGAGCGGTTTTGTTTTTTATTGGGGGGAGGGTTGCTTATCTTTTTTTCCCACAAGCTTTGAATGGGGGGGGGGGGGGGTAAAAAGGTTTGCTTATCTTTTTTTGTTATTCCACAAGCTTTGGGTCAATTAGTCAATCAAAACCTACACATTTCAAATAACGTCCGGAGTCCGGAGACAAACAAATCAGTAAAACAGAGGAACATTTGTGACATATTTCTACTTTCCTTCATAATTAAAACCGCCAAGCTGTTTTAATATGACATTGTACTAATATATAGAAATTCAAAATCTTGCAATTACCAACAGAGTACATATAATAACATTAATTTTGTTAAAATCAGTACAGAAATTAGACAACAAAACATCTCACATTATCTTAATATTTTCATTAGCAAATCGTGACAATGCATAAACGAATGTTGTAAAATGAATTGATAATATGTTGATCAATAACATATTGAAAACGTTGACACATTAAAAGTTAGATAAGGCATGTTTATGTCAGTGACTATGGTGTATCAACTACTTATTGTTTATATGGCTGACATATTTTAATAAACATCTCACAATAGTAACTTACAAAGAAAAGTTTCATAATTATGTAAATAATTATGATGATTTTGTTTTTTCTTTTGTTCGGATCTTTAGTCTCACTCACACTTGAAAGGTGAAGGTCATATGGTGTGACCTTCCCGGCAGGGCCGACAAAATCCAATGTTGACTTAATTGTCCGTTCTTATTTGAAGTATATCTAAACTAGTCTTGTCCGTATGATATCTAAATAGTAAATTCTTGAAATGTTACACTTGTTCGTACAGGCTGTGGGACAACCTTGGCAATACGACAATTGATTTTTGCCGTCTCAGATTCCTTGCATTGTTTCGGGGTCGGGCGAACGGACAATTTAGTTGAGCCCGCGACCTCCCTGGTATTATTTAGGTTTGCTTCCTCACGTGTTAGAATCCAAAGTCTCAAATAAGTTTTATACCTACAGCGGCTAGTGACAATTGATAGTCAAAGTCAGCGACTCTAACCAATCGACCGAGAGGCACTTGTTACAAAGAATATTGGTAAGAAAAATGTATCACTCGGGTGTAAATTATCACTTAACTGTCCTTAAACACATATAAATACAAATATAACAATAATTAGTACCTGCCCCTGCGCATCCTGCCGCAGCAAGGCCGTGCATGGCGATGTGTAACAGGCATCGAACCCGCGTCTTTGATTGATCAATAATGAACTTCCGTAGCCCAAGAAATGTCGTGGCCCCTAATTGAGAAAAAACAAAACACACCGTTTCTTTTTTTAAAACCTCTCCTCCTTTTTTAACGTTGTGAATTGAAGTGCCGTGAAGTTTGATAAGTATAGTAAGAATAAGTCGAGACATTAATAAAATAGAGAATACGTATGACTGTAAAATTGGTCCTATATACATTAAAGCATTTCATAAAACAATACAGATCTCATTTAAATAAAAGATATACTATACTTATCCTTAAATAAAATATATTTATAACAGAAATTTATTGACATCTAAGCAATTCTTACTGAATGTGTCTAATTTGAATAAAAGAATGAATAAACTATTTAAGGGAGGCTGCGTTCCCTATTACGAATCAAGTAAAGTTGGTCTTTTATTTACAAAAACTGACACTATATATTCATATATGAGTAGAATTTTAAACATAACATATCAACTTTGAGTGAAGTCAAAACTTGTTACGTTCATATTTACGAAAAGACTGTGTAGCAGTTATCAATATTTTCTAATTTTTAAGCATATCTTTAACATATAGAAAGAGAACCACATACATGTATTTATTTATGCATGTACTATATTAAATATATAATGAGTTATAATAATTCATCAAAATATTCCTATATATTTTAATGTTTTCCAAAATATATTAAAACCTATCTTTACCTGAACTCCCAGCGTCAATTATAGTCGTCACACCACGTGACAAACACGCTTCATCCTGGTTAATTCCTAACGGCGTAGCGTACTGGTAACAATGCACGTGCGCATCTATCAAACCTGGCGTAACTATTAGGCCAGATGCATCGTACGATGATTTAGAATCCAGCTTAAGGTTTCTCCCCACATCAAATATCTTACCATCTTTTAAAGCAACGTCGAGAATGTCATCTATTTGATTTCCAGGATCGATAACTCGTCCGTTCTTTATTATAATATCATGCCGGTATGAAGATTCTTACTCCAGCTCGCCAGGGTTCGTGTAATCCTATAATTGATTATTACAGCGCCTGTAGGAGAGTCAGACACGCTGGCCATTCTTGACGAGGACGCTTGCGTAGAGTGTGTAGAAGCCAATCGTGACGTCATCGTTGGTGTCAAGGTCAGATTACAGTCTTCGGAAGCCTATAGGTATACATTCTGATATTGAAATTTTGTTTTAAACGTAAATACACTATATATCTAATGAGCAAAAAATATGAATTAATATAAAAATACATGGAATGGTAAGTTATGCATAAAGCAAGAATTAATTTTTTGTTTATAACGGAAAGCTCGATGTTATGCCGCTTTACTTCATTAAAGGGAAACAAACAAGGCTTATCTTAAGTAAATTTTCAAAATATGATTACCTCCCTTTACTGAATGTAAAATAGAAAGCAGCATTCATGTATACGAATACTTGAACACAGTTCGAAATTTTCTTCAACGCACATTATGTTTCATGAAAAAAACGAGAAACTCAAAAATTCCTCGAGCACGTTCCATTTGCAAACGAAATTTTCTTCAATTCTTGGCAAGCTTGGGCAGTTAATAGACAATTTTGAATATCCTTTAACGGAACGTGGTTTTACTCGGGCGCCCGCTTGTGCCCGAAATGATATACAGAGAGTCACCTGAGGTCTTCCTCAACCAGTAAAGGTAGAAAGTCGCCATGTGACTTGTACTATGTTATTGTAACGGAAAACCCAACCTAAAAAAATAAAATAAATAATAATGGTCATTTTTGTTTTATTTGTATGTACAGAAGGGCGTTATCGGCAGCCAAACGTTGCGGGCTACCACTGATGGGCCATTCAAAACTAAACTACCCACAAAAACAATAAACACTCTTTTACTGAGATACTATTTGTATTTTTATCGTTGGTTCTCAAATCTGAGAGATTATGCAATAATAAAACGCAGATTTTACACACTATTTAAGATGCTATCATTAACGTCATATACTTGTACTTTCTTCGGGGAATGTTATATATATTTTCTGTCTTAGTAGATTTGGAAAACTCTCCAACCGTTTTTCATTTCATATTTTTAAAATGATTATTACATAGCATTTTCTAATAGATATATTATCACAAGAGTCTACTTCATTGTCTAATATTATCTTATACAAATAAAATGTAATGATCACTTTTCAAGATGATAGTATTATTTAAAAAGAAACTGTTTTGTGATCTTCTATGATGGCTGTTTTGTATCATGTCGTACTTTCGTTTCGCGGGGCGCCAGTCAAAAACACGAAAATAACACAAAAAGTCACTACTTTGCCGCATTATCATGTTTTCGCCTCGCATCCTGCGGAGCGGAGCAAAAGTACGACAAAGTAGTACTTTGTCGTATTTTCGTGTTTGAGACTAGTGCCACGCGGAACGAAAATATGACACGGTACAAACCAGCCACCATATTTTCCCGAAAGACAATCCAGATATTTTATAGAACTTCGGTGGTTCCGCTCACGAGTATCTTAAATTTTGCAGTGAGGGGCTACTTTGGTGTTAATATTGTTTTCTTAAAACATTCCTTTAATCTAATAAAAGCAAAATTTGTCATTAAAAATGTCGTTGCACATAGATAATGAAATATGTTGATCAATTTGACAGCATCTACGAGCACGCTAGGCTGTCCGACATACACATACATACCACGGATTTTTTGGATTCAGAGACTAAAACAATTCATAGTGACGTAATAGATGCCAGATCACGTGGTGTATTATTTGACTGCGGGCATGGTGTGGGTGCTTTCAACTGGACTGTGGCTGAAATGGCAATAAAACAGAAGTTCTGGCCTGATCTTTTGGGTATAAAATCTTAAGGATGTTTGTAATGCCTTTTTTAATATAATATCTTATTTAACTACAGTACAATTTCATTTAAAATGTAATAAAACTTTGAAATATTATGAAAACATCTTGAAAAAACAGTTTCGTAAATTATAAGTTATCACTTTGTCGTCTGTTTATTGTTATTTTTATAGGTTTGAAAGTGAATCAGAAAAATATCAGTATTTATTAGAAATCATAGGCGCTTACTACTCATAGACAGTTAACAATTAGCCTTTTCTGTTTCAGCGCCACAAGACCTAAATTGTGTTGGTGAGCCGTAAAACCAAACAAAGCAAACATAATACGAATACTCTTCTGCTAATAGTCAATTTATTTCATCTTTCTAATTTTCACATTTTTTTTCATGTTCAGGCAGTGACCTTCACATCGAGAATCAAGAAGGACCTGCATACGACCTACCCATGATAATGACAAAGTTTCTTTACCTCTGTATGCCACTGAACGAAATCATAAAAAGTGTGACGCCATCACCTGCGCGCGCATTCAGGCTGAATTTCATTGGATCATTATCGAAAGGAAACGACGCAGACGTTTCTATTTTAAGAATTGATGACTGTGACGTCAGTATTGAAGATTGTATCGGACAAATGAGACACGTTTAGAAGCGTATAGTCCCTGTTGCAGTATGGCGTGGGGGTAAGGAACACCCTGTTGTCATAGCAGGATTTGGTTCGAAACCAGTTACTACAAAAATCAGTCGAGGGAACTTAGAGAAGGCATTGATTAAAGATTAAGAAATACCTCGACGGAAAATAGGAAATATTATCAACCAACTTGATTTCTTTTTATGTTTGCTCATGACTTTTGGTGAAATAAAATGCTTATTTCATGGTCCGTATTTTCACTGTAAGTTCTTTCTTTATTGCAGTAAAGTATATTTACTGTTGTCTTGTCGGACCATTGTCTTATAATTTCAGTCTCAAAAAAAATAGAATAAATAAAAAAGTAAATAAATGAAAATAAATGAAAATAAAGAAGAAGATAATGAACAGAAATCCAAGGTTTCTTTTTTATCAATACGGGATTTATTTCCAATATTTTCAAGTGGTAGTAGATATGATAATTTTTATACCACAAAAAAGAACTGGATTACCCTCTTAGTATTAATGTCTTTTCAATTTTCAATTTTATTATATTGTTAAAAAAAAGTTTTTATTCCAGGGAATGGTTTTATCTTAAATCAATATATGCAAAGTTCATAGGATATGAAAAACTAAATTAGCTTGCATATACATGTACATGTTGATGTTATCTGCAATCATGTTATTTTACAGTAATGTACCCATTCTATACAAATGAAATGGATATTAAAAAATGTTCATTAATACAGGTCATGGCGAGTTTTTAATGTAATAAATACATTTATCATAAACACGTGCTACTTTTGTGGCATTGCAGCAATGAAAAGATGATTCATTTTTACTGTAAACACTTTTATTTGGATATGTGATAAATAGAATATTCTAACACAACCGCATTTATCTCTATTGAACAAAGAAGGACCGACATTGTGGGTTATTTAAATATAATGAAATGAAATCACTGTTGATGCTCTATTTTTAGACATGTGACGTAACCATTAGACATGCTATGTAACCACTACAAATATGACGCGTTGAGTATAGAAAAATGCAAATTATGGCAATGTAGGTCACATGGAGATTTTTTGTTTTTAACAACAACTTACAGTTGTTCCGTGCATGTATAAGATGAAGTTTTGGATATTTACTGTTACGTTAGAGCCAAACCATGTACCGATACTGTTGCATAAATCCCCTAGAAACACTGAATTAAGTTTTCATCTGCACATCCGTTAATAGTTTCGATACCCATCTAGCGCACACTTTGTTCATTTACATGTTTTCAGTTATTATCTTGTGAATTGTTGTTTTACTGACACTTTTCACACTTTTCCGCTATTTCTCGCACTGACATACGACGGTCGCCATCATGCATTTAATTAATCTCGTCACACGAGACACCCGGTCAACCAGACCTATGATCATCTGCAGTAGACGTATAATTCTAGATATTTACACAGGTTATCGGCGTGGGACCAAGCCCTACCCCTAAGGTACCACCCCCCAGGACCCACAATACTACCCAAATATACTTCAATACATTCAAAATACATGTCAATACAAAATCAAACAATTCTATCAAAAAATATGATACTGATACTATAAACTATGTAAAGGTATGTAACTCTCCCTTTAAAATCTATGAGAAAACGTACATGGTTGTATTCTGACCTGCGTAGCTGACATATTTTTCAGCCGATTTCAGGTAACCCGGGCTTAATCGATGCAGAAATAATATACCTTTTCGTTCCCGAGTTGATTTACTATCAAACACTAAGACTAAAGGCAGTACGAGTCTCAAAACTGCCTGAAATACAAACCCCGACACGATGTGACCGAAGTATTGAATTTCGCTGTCAATGTACATTTCAACGGCAACTATGTCAGACATGCACTTTTCTTAATAAATACCTATTGTAATCAATAGAAAATGTATTTATGTAATACTCACAAGTGATGTCTTGTCCTATTTATTGTTAATATCGGCGAATTCCGCCTTCATTCAGCAGCACTATTTTGTTTTGGTTAGCCGCTTCCATATTGAATTGGTGACCCGGAAACGGAATCTGTATCACTATTTTCTCATTGGTCTATAATGGAGGTGTGTCTTTCCGTAGCGCTGGTTCCCCAACTTCACGATATTACACACACTGAAGCCGGTGGTCATTTTCGCGAACTTTAATGAACGCATCGCAACATAATAATGTCGTTGAACGTGAAACAGAATCAAGCTCTGAATTTTGTGGGCCAAGGTCACAATCTGCTAATTCTAGGCTCAGCAGGTACTGGGAAATCGTTCTTAATTAACAGTATTGTAGAAATGTGTAAACAGCTTGGGAAAACGTGTGCAGTAACAGCGACAACAGGAATTGCTTGTAGTGTGTATCCCCCTCAACTTAACCCGATGACCATTCATCGGTGGTCTGGTATTGGTGATGGTAGATATGGGCCCTCTGAAATAAAACGTATTGTTTCAAACAATGTTAAATTTACAGATGTGTTAACTAGAGTGAAGAATACTGACGTTTTAGTAGTTGATGAAGTGTCAATGATGAGCAAGAGATTCCTGGAATCTCTAAATGAGGTTTGTTCATTAAAGAATGAGACATTATTTTTTGGAGGTCTACAAGTAATTTTAGTTGGGGACTTTCTTCAGTTAGCACCAGTACCTTGTGCCCGTTATAATGAAGATGGATGTTATTGTTTTGAAAGTGATGTTTTCAACCAAGCTTTCCCTCATGTTACAATTCTTACAGAGGTTGTGAGACAGAATGAAAGGGACATGATAAAGGCAATCAGGGAGATATCCATTGGAGTGGTGTCTGATGAAACAATCAAATTATTAAAAGAACTTCAAAGACCATTACAAGATGAAACCATTAAACTTTTTTCTACAAACGATTTAGTTGACGACTATAATCGTGATAGAATACTTGATTTTCCGGGCCCAATACATGAAACAATTTCAATAGACACTGGTGATAAAAAATACTTGAAAGGACAGACTACACCTAGAAACCTTTGGCTTAAAATTGGATATCCTGTGATGCTCATAAAAAATTATCAAATCGGTTGGTAAATGGACTGAGGGGAACAGTGTATAATATACAACAAAATGGAAAAGTACTAGAGGAGTTTCCAAATATGACAGAGGCAACATATATAGAAAAAGTTAGGTTTGAAGGCAAGTACAAATAAAAAACTCATTATAACAGTCAGCAATAATTTACAATCATTAAAATAAAATGTAAACTCTTATATAACATGGCTAATTGAATAAAATTATACCATAAAGGCATATGTGCCATTGATATATTATCTAGAAATATTAATGCGTTTACTATGAAATGTTTTGTCTGACTTTATTTTAGTACATAAAATGTAAACCCTTTATTAATAATAATAGAATTTCAATGAACAACATACCAAACCTCAGTATATACTTTGTGTTATTGTAGTGATGTACTCAGACATATGTATTTTGTTCACAATGATTTGTTTTTGGATTATTATGTTTATAATAACATGCAGTGCTATTTGAACTCCATTGTTTCTTTCATTTTAGTATTTGATCCAAGAAAAAATGCTGTTGTTGCAGTCAGGGAACAATATCCACTGAAACCAGCCTATGCACTTACTATTCATAAAAGCCAGGGTATGACTTTGGAAAGGTAAATTTATAAAATTCTTTACATCTACACACAACTTGTAAATATCATTCTTATTAAGCATGGATATGTTATGTTGTTAATAAGTGTGAGTGCATTAAAGTAAAAAGATAAAATAGATAAATAGGAGATTGCCAAAAATATTGTTAGTGTAAAATTAATTTTGTAAAAGTTCTCTTGTTTGTTAATTGTAGCATTTATAACATTACACCTTTTACAACTGTTCAACAAATAGTTGCATATAAATATGACATAAGCAGATACTAAACATATAATCAATGAATGTTCATTGTGATAAAAGGAATTTGATATATGCTAGTATTGTAAGTTTAATATTAAGAAGCATTAATAAACAATATTTTATGTCTGTTGTTTTTTGTCTCTTAATTTTTCATCCTTTATTGCTTTCAGAGTTGAAGTTGACTGCCGGGACATATTCAAACCAGGTCAACTTGGTGTAGCAATGGGAAGAGCATGCACACTGGAGGGCCTGAGGGTAATAAATTTTACAAGTAAAGTATGTATACAGCAACCTGAAAAGATCCTACGATTTGTGAATGCCGAAGATAGTCTTAAAACAGAACAGGACAGAAGCTGTTGTAATTCTTTTGTTAGGTGAGACAAGTATAGTTAGGGAAAATATACAGTCAAACCAGTTATTAAAGGCAGCCTAAAGAAGAGAATAAACACAGCCACTATAGACAAGTGGTAATTATTGGTTGGGGTACTCTGTTCTCTTAAATAAATGAACAATTAAAATTAATAAATGGTTGTTGAAAAATGGTCTTTATTTGCAAGGTAATCAGAGGTTGTCTTTAAAACAGGTTTGACAGTATTGATTCAGATTTGGCCAGAAAAAATCTTCATTATATCAGGCACATTTTGTCATTACATTGATGCATATATATTTATTGGTAAGTGCACTAGACTGCCCTATCTGCTTAATAGGGTGAACTGTATTTTGTTAAAATATAAATGAATTCATCAGTATAATTCATATCACTTGAAATGAAATAACAAAGTAGAATACTTATCAGAATATAAATTTCATAGTGACACATGTATAATAGTTATTACTGTGGGACTTATTTCTTTGCAAATAACATTAAAATGATAGTTTTATGGCAAGATAAAACAGAAATCATTTGTTTTTAGCAGATAAGGGATAAGTATTTTTTTTTATAAATACTGTCTTGTACATTTTTAAGGAAATATGACAAAATTGTTAATGTTAGCATACAATAATATTTACCTGATAACTTTTGTCTTTTGGATGGATAATTTTGTATGGAAATGTTAAAAGGCATAGCAGCATCTCTTCCCTTTCCAGCATTTGCTTTTCGGGAAACAATGTTCTGTCCAACTATAATACTATTCAAAGCACGCTTGTACTGTAGGGCATTTGGGTTTGAGTTGGCCCCATGATAGGTGGATCTTTGTTGATTAAATATGTTTTCCACTACATCTGAATTTATTAGACCGGGTGTTACATAGATTTCTTTTGATAATTTTGTTACAATTCTGCAAAGTCCTACAAAACCCAAAATGCATGATTGAATGTCATCATAACACTGATATGATAAAAACTGTTCTTGTTTTTCCTTTTTAGATGCCTTGTTATCTTCAGCAAAATCTCTCCATGTCTTGAACCATGCACTTATATCAAGAAGTTCAGATATTCTTGTATCATCCATGTGAATAATGGGCCGCATATCTCGAAAAATGTCAATTAATTTTGATGTGTATTTAAGAAATTCAATTATACCATTTAGCACATCCCCTTTTACACCCAATGATGCTTTAAACTGTGTCATTGTGTTTAACATTTCTGAGTTTAAAATGTCCTCTGCTAGATGATTCCTCATTTTGGATTGTGATGTCAAATTTATATGTTCACTTGTTAATTTTCTATGCAGTTGTAGGCAGTTTTGTTTGTCCCAGTTGAAACAGTCACATAACATTTGCCACTGAATGGTATATGTTGAGGGCAAAGTCAAAAGTCTAGTTTGGTGCTTGATTTTACCTTCTGTTCCACTAGAAAAAACATTGTTTCTTATCTTTTTTATGACATGGGAAACATCCATGATAAAAACTAACTCTCCAAAATTACATGGTATTGAAGTTTGAAATGGTCTGTCAGTTGAAGTTTTACTCAGGTTATATTTCATGAAGTTTCTGTTGCTTTGCGCTCCATCTAAACTTGTATAGACTACATGGAATCCAAACATTTGTAGTTTATCTACTGCTTCCCAAAATAATAGATATAGTTCAGTGCCCTGAATACCATTTGTAATGAAATGAGCAAAGGGAAACCGAAATCCAGTGAGTCCAAGGAAGACAAATTGTAATGCATATGTCCCTACACTTCTTTCATTTTTACCGGTGCGAAGAATAGCAGATGCATTGGCCTCCTCTCCTAGGTCAGATAAACCACATAGCTCAACAACATCTCCATTCTTACTTATTTGCAGGTCTGATTGGATTGCCATTTCGTCAATTACTATACCACCAATCCAGCCATCAGGATGTATTTCTTTTTGTACGGCTTCAGAATGCATCCAGTTTAAAATTTTACTATCAAAACCTGTTTCATGCTTTACTGTATTTTTATAAATAATCAGAGTAGATGGACATGGCATAACTAACATGTTGGTTGCCCTAAAAGATTCATAGGAAATAGGGCTTCTACAGTACCACTGTAAACAAACAGAAATCATCTTCTGGGACCATCTTCTACCGCGGGGATCACGACCAACGTTTTCAGCCTGACTGAGAATCAATTCTGCCATTTCATTTGTAATGTCAGGAATCAGGGTTCTTAGGTCTTCAACTGTTAATTTTTTCTTTGATATAGCCTGTGTTTTACTTTTGCTGTCAATTTTAACTGTATTATCTACATTTTTATTTTCTTTATTGGTGTCTGGTACCGTTAAAGTCAATTTTTGGCACTTTCTACAGATTTCAGTAATACTGTTCATTACAACCAATTTGTCACATAGCATAGACCTCACTATTCTCCTAGTCTCACTGCCTACCTTCATACACTCAACATTATGATATCTTGTTATGATAACTGACCTAGTTATCTGCACACCAATACACAGTTTAAGTTTAAGAACTGTCTCACATACTAAATGTATGCTCTCCTTTGTGAAGATATATGAGTTGGACACATGCAGTTTACTTAGGTCTATCTCTTTTCCATTTACACTCAGCACCCATGATTTATTATGTAGGAATTCCAAAGTTTTACAAAGAGGGACATCATTGATTGTAGTACCTGTTGTAATGGTGCATGATATTGACTTAGAGTTTTCTTTACTTATTACAAAGTCCTTATACAAATAATGTTTTAATTCAGGGAAACTTGAAAATCCTGTTTCTTGCTGTAGATGAGGTGGTTTTATTTTGATACATCTGTATATTGTTTTTGTTTCATGAGATGATTTTTTCCTTTCTTTTATAGCAGATGGAAAAACATTCCTTATGTGTTCAAAGAAAACCCGTTTTTCACCACTTTGAATTATTCCAGCTGCTTTCATTTCAAATTCATACATTTGAAGAAGCTTATTCACTTCAATTTCTGAGTTAACATCTTCTTCAACTCTACTAAGTAACCTATGGAAATTATAAAGTGCATTTAATTATTATAATATAATATTCATGACATCGTTAGGTAGCGAAAATTGATAATAATATATAGGTATAATTATATAATTTTTCTTTTCTTTTTTAAATAAAAACTATGGATTCCAGCCCTTGTTATAAATTGAACTTTGATTTTCTGTTTATACATAAAATTATGGATTACATGTTTGGTATTTACATGTTTGACAGTCAAAAATTATTCCTAATACATCTTTTTATGCATTTATGTTTAATGGTTTTATATTCAAGAACATGTTGTTGTCCCCTCCCCCTGTTTTAGTTTTAACTACTTTATATTTTAAATTTACATGTTGCATTTTCTAATGACTGAACACTTTAAAAATGTCTGATAGTTTGTCACAAATATTAAATGCTTAGACATTAGGACTATTTATGTCAAAATGCTTAGCCAAGTTATGTCAGAGTTGATAGCCATGGGTAGCACAAACTATCACATCTGTACATCATGCATATTAAAGGCCCATTATGCCCCAGAAATGTTTACATTTTATTTCTTGAAAGCTTTTTATTATTGATGCCCTATTGGATTTATTGGACAATGTCCTAAACCATCTTTTGCTAATTTTGCCTGTTATAAACAATGAGTACAGTTATGATGGTATAGTATTTGTAGGGGTATGGAAGTCAAAATACAAATAATTTCCATTTCAACATTTCAAAGTTCTTTCTTCATGTGATATTAAAGTATCTGACATTCTTTAAAATCATTATTTTAACAATGTAAAACTCATTATTGCCTTTTCTAAAGAAGGAAAAAATTACTGCTTCTGGGACATAATGTGCCTTTAATTAGTCAGAATTTGATTCAAAATGATTAACAATTTAGAATATCAATACAGTTTAAAAAAACCATGTCTCCTTGTCTTGTGCAAATATTTATCTATTACAGGGATATGTCTGAAAGAATGTCACTTCCCTCCCTTTTTATACGCCCGTTTGAAAAACGGGACGTATTATGGGAACGCCCCTGGCGGGCGGGCGGGCGGCGTCCAATTTTGTCCGGAGCATATCTCCTACATGTATGGAGGGATTTTAATGAAACTTCATAGAAATGTTCACCACTATAAGGAGCAGTGTCGCGCACATGAACCAGGCCTCTAGGTCAAAGGTCAAGGTCACACTTAGAGCTCATTGAAAAATGCTTGTCCGGAGCAAAACTTCCACATGTATAGAGGGATTTCAATATTACTTGGCACAAATGTTCACCATTGTGAGGCGGAGTGTCGCGCGCAAGATTCAGGTCCTTGCGGCCAAGGTCAAGGTCACACATAGAGGTCAAAGTTCAGATAAAAATATGAAGATGTGTATATGGACCATTTAGTCATCATTTATTGAGGGATTGTAGCACAAATGGTAACTATCATGACTACAGGTGTGACACATTTAATTTAGGTTAATATTTGCAAGGTCAAGGTCACTGGAGATGATTAAATATCCAGATGTTGTCCGGAGCATATTTTCTACATGCATGGAGGAATTTTAATGTTACTTTTATAGAATTGTTCACCACCATGAGACGTAGTGCCCTGCACATGAACCAAGTCTCTAGGTCAAAGGTGAAGGTCACAGTTAGAGCTCATAGAAAAACGCTTGTCTGGAGCAAAACTTCTACATGCATAAAGGGATTTCAATATAATTTGGCACAAATGTTCATCATTGTGAGGCTGAGTGCCGTGCATAAAATTCAGGTCCCTGCGACCAAGGTCAAGGTCACACATCCTGTGCATATCTTCCCTACTGATTTGTTTTAAGGTTCATTTAACAACACAGTGCCAAGAATAAAAACTTGCTTGCTAGATAACACTTATCCATAATGCCCCCATCTCCATCTAAAGCTTACGTAAACGGGCGTATTTTGTGACTATGGCACCCTTGTTATGGCTAGTTTAAACATTGAATTTAATATTCAGAGGTCATTGAAAATGTTAACATAAAACATAATTTTATTTT